AAAAAAGGTCTCGAGCTCATTATAAAATTGTTGAATATAATTGTTAAATGGCCAAAAAAAAAAATAACAAAAAACAAATAAAGTGAAAACAAAAAATTGAAATTGTTCGAAATTGTTGTTGCTTGAGATTGAAAATGAAATTGTGTGTGTTAGTTTGTGAGTAAATTTAAAAATTAAATTGTTTGGAAACGTCAAGAATTTTGAAAGTGCCTCTCAGCGGTTCTACCTTACTATATTTTTATCATGAGTCTAGTACTGTTTTTGTCAATGTATTGTGTACTTGGGTGCCGTTTTTGTAAATGTGTCGTGTACATGTTTATTTATAAACGTATGTGTTCCTTTTCTTTCGTACGTGTTTATTGATATATCTGTACTGTAGTGTTTTCGGACGGTACTAGCTCTTACTGCCAATATAGGAGTATTACATGAACCAAAAATACAAGATCACGTAAGAACGCGAGGTTGTATTTTTAACTGGTTTTGAGAAAAAAGTTTGCGAAAGCGGGTTCGTCAGCTGAGCGTTTGTTTACATCACGAGCACCACTATTTTACACTTTTATTCAAGTAAAGAAGAGTTAATTCAACATGACAACACATTTTAAAGCATTTTGTTGCATCATTTTACCTAAATTGTGCGTTTAAAGTGGCTGACAATAATTTGGCTAATTTTGATTTTCGTTGTTTTCTTTGCTTTGTTTACTTTTCGCTAGTTTTCCAGTGAAACAAGATGGCGTAGAACCCGCTAAAAAAATCGACTTTTTCACTCTCTTGTTCTTACGTGATCTTGTGTCTTTCGTTCATGGGAGTATTACATATATGGGTTTTGTATGTACATTAGACTGCATCACTCCCCATACAAAAAAAAATCGGTATTTTTTCCATTGCAATTTTAAAATCTATTATATTTTAAGACGTCCTCCAAAAATGGAGTTTTTTATGAATAAAAATTGTTTCTTAAAGATATTTTTTTAAGAAATCCCCTCAAATGACAAAATGGTTTAAGCTTAAAAACTTTACATAAAAATATTAAAAAAAGAAATTTAAAAAAATTTGAACGCATTCGTAATAATGAGATTTTTGATGCTGTTTTTATTTACTTTTTTCAAAGATTGGTATAAGAAAAACTTGAATAACTTTACCTAAACTCTTCCGATTTAGACTTGTGAGGTATCATTGGGAAGGTATTTTCTCACCCTTTTTATTCATTTGCCAATAAGTTCATTCAAAGGATGAAAGAGAAAGGTGGGATGAAGGAACATCATTCAAAGTTGAATTCAGATGTGTTGGTATTTGAAAAAAAAATGGAACACGAATGACTTTTTTTGGACAGAAATGAAAATAGTAATAGTTTTGGCCTAGCTATATAAGTATTTCGTATATCAATCTTTGAAAAAAGTAAAAAAACAGCATCAAAAATCTCATTATTACGATTCTGTTGAAAAGATTTTTAAATATTTTTATGCAGATTTTTTAAGCCTAATCTGTTCTGTCATCTGAGGGACCTTTTTTCAAAAAGTTCTTTAAGAAACTATTTTTATTCATAAAAAACTCCATTTTTGGAGGTATTTTCAAATCGGTCCAGCTCGCTTAAATCTTAATGTTTTTCCGAAATATTTTGTGGACGTCTTAACACATTGACTGCCACGTCGGCCATATATGTGTGACACTGTACTATGCGGTTTACGCCACGTCGGACACATATGTCCGACACGACTATTATTCTCTCTCGCCATGTCACACAGCAACGATTGAGGATAAATATGATTTTATTGCAATAATAAAATATATGGCTTCCCATGAAATTTCTGTTATAGTGGCTTCGGCGCAGCTCAAAAAACAATTGGAAAAAATTGGTTTTGAAAAAAAAATTTAATTCATTTTATTGCAGTAACAAAAAATTTTTTACATATTATTTTTATTTATTATTTTTTGTTTACTGAGCATGTAATAAGCTTTGACTTGTTTCTGTTTGCAAAAATAACGGATTCAAACATCAAAATACATTGTCGTCATATAACGTTGTTTGGTGTTTGTTTGCAAAAACAACATACTCCCAATTGTTTTGTTTTTGCAAAACGAAGTAGAGCTTGTATGACGACGATGTATTTTGATGTTTAGCCAATGTTTTTGTCGTGCATATATGTCCGCCATGGCCCTGAGTTAAAAAAAGTCGGTAGGCGCCACGTCGAACATATGTGTGTGACATACTAATTAGTTAAAAACTGCCTGTTTCTAAGCAGAAAATATTACCAGCACTACCCTAAATTCCAATTTTGACGTCTCTGATGAGATTTAAAAAAAAAAATGCTGTGGCCCCAGAACATCTTTTTTGCTGAAAGTGCCTTGGCAGTCAATGTGTTAAGAAATAAAAAATTTTGTAATTTTGTAATCCCGGGGGAAAAACCGCCACTTCTTTTGGTGATGCAGTCTAATGTACATAAATATGTAAATACAAACGCTTAACATACAGCTGTTATGTACCTCTTTTTATTTACTTATTTATATATAAGAGGCTTATTATTTCTCGACTGTTTTAAAATTCAAATATTCATTCAATCTTAAAACAAAAGTTTAATATTTTATAACGTGCTATTTTCCTATAAACTCATATTCAACAATAAATAATCCTTATTGATATATCATTACCTTAATATAGAAGGCCCTATCTCACATCGTCGCTGAAATGCCAAAAAGCCGTAACTAGCTAAAATTTTTATTGCATAAAACGATGTAGAGGCTTATAATTCGATGAAATGCATAATAAACAACGGAGTGAATTTTGAATTTTTTGTTAGTAACCTTTCCATACTAAGGAAACGATATGTAGATTAGAGGTTTACGCCGACAGGCTTTGCGGCGGCGGCGTGGTCAGCTTGAAAAAGAATCGGCGGCGGCGGCGACGCCGGCGCGTCTGAAAACGCCGGCGCTACTGCCCATTAGGTAGATTCAAAATAGACATAAAGCTACTAATCTTATCATGTCATCTCGTCAGCGTTAGGCATTGGCCATGCCAATTCAGATTGTAATTGTATTTAATTAATTCATTGAATTAGTTTTAAATTAAAATCACGTTACTTTCTACTTGAATTAAAATGTTGAGTGTCTGCTGCTGATGGATGGGCAAACAGAAGAAAGTCCGACGTATATAAATAAATACATCTCTATGTTCTCTACAAATCCGTATATGTATACTACTGAAATTTAAAGAAATAAAAAAATTTAAAATGTTAAGTTATTGGGGTAATTTATGTCGCTATCAAAATTTTTTTGCAATAATCTTATCATCCGTTATGTTAAATTACGGAGTTGTTACGATTCTTTGCGGGTCATATGTATATTGAAAACAAGGTTTGGTCAACTTCCACCAGAACGGGCCTTTCTGGCCACTTATAGGTAGCTAAAATATCCACTAAAATATTAAGCGCCAAATTTTTGTAAGGAGAACTGAATGTAATGAAAAATAATAGTAATTTTTACGAAAAATGGGGACTTTAACCCTGTGTAGAAGACATTGCGATGCGCGGGAGCAAACGCCTCCTGGGATTTGACCACCACTTGGGAACAGGGCTTCCAACTATACTTAGCTATGAAGTGCCATATTGAGGATAAAAAAGTGCCAAAATGTGCCAAATAGAAAAATATAACGTGTTACCTATGTTTTTTCTGAGTTACGCTTTTTTGGAAATGTTCAGTGGCCCAAATTATGCGAAATAACTCCTTTAAAAATTTAATCCTCTTTTCGTAAAATAGTGTCTTTATACGAGTAGTATTTAGTTCCTTCAAACGATGTATTTTAATGTGCATACATCATGAAAATTTTGTACAAAATTCCTTAGGCGCCGAACGCCGCCGCCGCCGCCGCCGCGCCGATATTTACGTAACTCGGCGGCGTATACCTCTAATGTAGATAGACATTTACATAAATATGTATATTACTGTTTTTAGGAGGGAAAAGCAAACAAAAACTTGGTCCAATTAAAAATTTTTTATTGTTTCATTTTAGTTAAAATCCAAACATAAAACCCATTCGAAAACTAATACAATTTAACAATTTATTTATTATAAAATTGTTTCTGTTTATGTACACTTTTTAAGACATTTGATCTTTTGAGTTAGTTCGTTAGCCTGTAAGCGCACATTACATGATCACATCACCCCAATATAGCTTTAGTTACATTAAATTACTTCCTATAAATTTATATGCTTTTGGGTTGTTTTTTAGCATACCCGCAATAAAAGTACAAAAAAGGTTATATATAAATGTAAATTAGACAATCGTGTATAACAATATGTAAGTACAATGTTGGGATTCGCAAGCTACTCCTTCCGTATATTTTCATATATGTATACATATTATGTATATCTTAATTTTTATGATGCATTGTGTATTATAGTTTGCAGTGATAAAGCTTGGGCGCTGATCCTATAAGGCCATCTATTCCCTTTACTACATTTTTGATTTTTTGTTAATGATATTAACGGCGGAGCCATACCACTAACGCAGCCACTTTGACGGAATTACACTTCCTTCTTGCCAGCAACACACACACACATTTAACTCCTACTATTGCATTCCACCCGCTTCGGTTGCTTTTGCAATAAGTTACAGATTTCAGACGACTGCACTTTTATTCGTTTGATCATGTTTGCTAGCGCCGAGAATATAGCCCTTTGCGGTAATAACACCACGACAACGCACATGAACTTGATAGCGCAGTGCCCAATCTACCTGGTAATCGGGAACAATAAACTGGTCATCGGGCAACAACACTTCTGGATCGCTGTGTGTCAGCAGCTGAATATCATGCTTGGTACAATAGTCTTTCAAAGCCGGTGGTACCACACAACAGGATTCTAAATTTATTTGTGCTATCGTCGGATGAACAATGGCAGATGCATTCAATTGCCCCAATTCTTCTATGTCCAAATCGGCAACACCCAATTGAATTATTTGTTTTTGCTGTGCAAATTTTTCCAGTGATGCCCAAAGCTGTCTTAATTGATATACTTTTTCATTACTATTCTTTTGTACACTCTCATTTTTTGCATGATATGCAAGCACTAAATTGTCCACGTGCTCTACCTTGAGTACCTGCAGCAGTGTGCTTATCGCTTGTTCAATATACACACTGGAATTTTTGTTTAAAAATAGTTTCGCACCAATACTAATTTCTGAGCGGTCGTTTTCAGTTAACTTCTGCTTTAATTCTTCTGTCGCTCGTAGTACACGACCATCCGCTTCGATTAATTCAACTTCTGCAGCCGCTTTTTGGCATTGTAAGGTCAAACGCAAGCCGTGCAGGACCTCCTCCGTCGACTTTCCACCTAATTGGTTGTTCATGTTAAGAATATTTCCAGTACTAATAATGACATTGTGAAATTTGTCATTTGATGTAATCGCTGGAATCATTGTGACCACTGAATCTGTTATCTATGGATAATTAGTCAGAGTATGTAGGTTTATATTGTATGTGAAATACGCGTTTGCCTGCTCTTGCTTTGTTGTTCCAAGGTATGCCTCGCTGAATCGTCTATACTTTGAAACACACGTTTATGCTTTTTATATGCGGATACAATCGTTAATTTGATATAACGAGATGAATAACAACAAAATTCAATAGTTTTACACAGCAAATGAAAAAATCAAATGAACCAAGACGAATGACAACCGGAACTGTCAAAGTCAAGTACTAAAAGGTAGGGCTGCCAGGCAGTATTGCCGCGAAAATTTTTAGTGGTATCCAAATTTCTTTTAAAAAAGGGCAAAAGAGTGCTAAAAAAGTCGTTGTGGCTAAAATTGGTAGCTAAAATTTTTTTACTTACATATTCATAAACAAGTATACACGCAAACATTCCCTACATGAAAAGGACATTTTAGACTGACCGATTCTCAAAACGTTCAAACAAAACCAATACACATGAAAAACACTGTAAAAATTTCCCCACAATTTGAAGGCACCCTGCAAAAATCGTTGGACCATGTGACCTATTTGTGGTATTTTGGAGTACTTACAAAAATGCTCCTGTGTCATGTTGTAGCGGACCAACTCGAGTCTCTGCACCATTTTATTGTTACCCCGATCACTGCACGTGTTTTAACGAAATGTGATTGAAGTTGAGCATTTGAAAGCACATTTTCATCACGGTGGAGAGAATACAGAGGTGGTGCCAAGGCACATTAAACAGGTAGTATCAGTAGAGTAAAAACAACATTTGCGTGTATTTTGTTGTTGCTTCTGGTATCGAAAGTGTCAAAAACTGTTCTAAATTTTTTCTTCTAAATCAAAGCGTGCCATGTGAAATACAACAAATTATAAAAAATAAAAACTTGAAATTGGAAGAAATAAAAATTGATGCACCTTTCTTTCCTAGTAAATTTGTTTGCTTCTCGAAGCATTGATCCATCTTTTGCAAGGCCCCGTAATCAGTGTTTGTGCTGCTGAGTTGCACGAACGTTCCAAAAACTGCTATTCAATCGCTTGTTTTGTATGGAAAAAGGTTTCACATGAAAATGGATTTTAACAATTCAGAATTTTTGTGAGAAAAAATTAAAAATATTTGACATTTTCGAGACCAAATAATTTGAAAATAAATCAAATCAGCTGCTCTACTGATACTACCTGTTCAATGTACCTTGGGTGGTGCCGATGACGATACCGCTACTCGGCTCTCAGTGATTTTGACAGAATCAGCTGTTTTGGTGACGTCATAGTAGAGAAGACAGCAGTAGTGATGTGCTGAGGCAATACTTTTAAGTACCGTTACTTTTAAGTAATACTCTCGATACTCGGTACCGAAACATTTAGGTTTCGAATAAAAGCGCACATAGGCCAAAAATATGGAAAAAACGCCTAACAAAACCCGAATGTAAGAGCCAATAGAGCTTTTTTACTGATTCAAATGAAAGATGTATATATGTCGGTTCGATGCCATAATACAGAGAAACCCTTACTTGTTTGAAGCATTTTTGTTCCAGCTGAATCGGACGATATCATTTTTGTAGGCCTGGGACAGATTCTGTAACCAGTTAACGACAATTTTCGAATCGGTATCGGTTTTGTCGACGTTTGATATCAAATATTTGTAAGTCAACAAGTGCGATATCGATCCGAAACTTGTCGCTAACTGGCTACAGAATCTCTCCCCTGAAAGGCTTCTTCATCCGTCAAAGTATTTTTCTTGAACCTTGGATCGACTAAGGTTAAAACTGATAAAATAATATTTTTCTGTGGCGATAAGTTCAAGTGTTTTAGCCGATATCATATAAACTAGTAATGAAAGTTTTTTCTAAACCTGAAATGCATATAATGGCGAGGGTTTAATGTAAATAATCGGTATCGGATACCGAAATCTTTTTTAAGTATTGGGTACCGAGTATTGGGGACAATTCAGCACATCACTAGTCGCCCTCTTTCTCGCCGCTCTCAGTTGTCAACTCTACGATGACGTCACTCTAAAATTACTCTCACGAATTCTGCTGCAATCGGCGCAATCTTGTATTCTATCATTCTTGGCAGAGATGGAGTATATGGTCCTGCCCTAGGACATCGCAATGTTAATTGGACCATATTTTTTATAAGAATTGTGGTTAATTTTGGAGTACTCCGTGGCCCTTAGGGAGTACTCTTTACATGCATGCATGGAGTAGTCGCGATTTTTGCAGGGTACGTAATTTTATGTGGAGTTTTTGCTTTTCTTGAGAGCTGCATACAGGCCTTTATGGTTAAAAGAATTCTAGTTTTTTATTGAATTTTTGGTTTAAAATTTATTTTTTCCTTTTCAGTAGGGTTTTTGCACATTTTCTTCTGCGTGAGAATTGATCGTAATATATACGGATCTAAATAAGAGACTGGAACACGCATGAACCAAAAATACAAGATCACGTAAGAACGCGACGTTGTATTTGTAACTGGTTTTGAGAAAAAAGTTTGCGAAAGCGGGTTCGTCAGCTGAGCGTTTGTTTACATCACGAGCACCACTATTTTACACTTTTATTCAAGTAAAGAAGAGTTAATTCAACATGACAACACATTTTAAAGCATTTTGTTGCATCATTTTACCTAAATTGTGCGTTTAAAGTGGCTGACAATAATTTTGGCTAATTTTGATTTTCGTTGTTTTTGCTTTGTACTTTGTTTACTTACTGAAACAAGATGGCGTAGAACCCGCTAAAAAAATCGACTTTTTTCACTCTCTTGTTCTTACGTGATCTTGTGTCTTTCGTTCATGTGGAACACGGCTGTTTGTCAAAAGCATACGATTTCGAACTCGCGTAAATGCAAGAATGATAGAATACAAGATTGCGCCGATCAGAGATCATTTTTGAGAATAACTTTTGTGGGACGTCACACTGGCGCAATTGCGAGATAGAAATGCCAAAACGTGAGCAAAAATGGAAGAAGAAAAAATGTTGCAAGGAAAACGTGAACAAGTTGCACAGTGTGACGTCATGCAAACAACGATTCTGTCAAATTCGTTAAGAGAGGAATAGCGGTCCGAGATCGGCGCAACCTTTGTATTCTCTCAATCGTGGAGTAAATGTACATTTGCTAAATGCTATAAGCCCTGTATGCAGCTCTCAAGAAAACGGTAAAGAAAAAATTGCAATTATTTCGCGTGTGTGTCCAAGGAATTTTGACATTATAGCATGAACGCTCATGAACCAAAAAGACAAGATCACGCGGGCTGGAGACTAGCCCGTTAGAATCGCATTCAGGAAAACAGTTGAACGATTTTGACATTAGCCGTTTGTTTACATTTCTTCGTTGTTTACAATTTGGGGGTGGCTTTTTACTGCAATTTTCTTCATTTTCGCTTGTGACAACGTGTGTACACAAAAGATAAAGAATAATTTAACCAAACGGCATGATTTATAGAAGAATTAGCATAATAAAAATGATTTTTCATGCGTTCAACAATTTCGCGGTTTTCTCCGTTCTCTTCGTTGTTTACTTCTTACAACAAAGATGGCGTCGAGATTTCGGCAGCTAGTAAATAACTTTTTTCGTTCTTTCCTTCCCGCGTGATCTTGAGTCTTTCGTTCATGATGAACGCTCTTCGAAAACATATGTTCGAAAGTGCTAAATGTTGCATTTCAAATGCAACATTTAGCACTTTCGAACATATGTTTTCGAAGAGCGTTCATGCTATAGCATTTAGCAAATGTACATTTACGCGAGTTCGAAATCGTATGCTTTTGAGAAACAGCCGTGTTCCAGTCTCTTATTTAGATGCGTATATATTACGATCAATTCTCACGCAGAAGATAATGTGCAAAAACCCTACTGAAAAGGAAAAAATAAATTTCAAACCAAAAATTCACTACAAAAACTTAAATTGTTTTAACCATAACCGAACATTTGTTTGTGTATATATTCATTTGTCGGTGCTGTCAATTAAAATTTCCTCACTTAATTATGAAACAAACCAAACAGAGTTGATCACAAATTGATCCAGATTTCTATCAGCATCAAATCGATGTTGAATTTGCTTAACTTTTCTTTATCCAAATATGTAATGCAAAATAAAAGAAATCTCGATCGGCGATCACTGAAACGCAGCTAGCAACTGTATACTCGAAAAAGCAATGTTGCCACTTTTTCTCTTTAAACCATGTTCGAATCGTGGAAATTTTGGAAGATCACAGGGTTGCTTTTAGCATTTAGATCCTTAATGCAAAAATGGAGTTGCATTTAGTTGCATTTAGGTGACGAATTTTGTATGGATAAATGTACATTTAGAGTAGCATTTAGAGCTAAATGCGCTAAATGTGCTTTTACGCGTAAGCAAAAACAGCCTATTAGCCCATATGCATATACACATGTATATACAACTGAGTGCAATCATTTCTTATCTTTTAAGTACATGTACTATCTACAGAGGACATATGCAACAACTGGAAAGCTCTCTACCATATTTACAAATAGGCAGTCAGTAATCTGCATTACACGAGCTGAACGTGGATCTGTTATAAGTTTGATTTATAATAGTTTATATCAACAGGTGTTCTTACCTCTTCAAAGGTTGAAAATGGCTAAAGTTTTCTTTGGAAAAATTATACATACGAAATCTCTTAATGAATTTGAGGTTTTTCCGAGCGGATTTGTTGCAGTGGACCAGCAAGGCCAAGTAAGTACAAATGCAATTATCGCTTATTTATTTATTACTATGAATAGGTACTAGTATGCGCCATGATTGTTTAGTTTTGTCTACAACAGGCTTGCCCAGCGCAAGGCACTTGCCTATAGAATTCTGCCAGCGCAGGGCACTTGCTTATGGAGTTCTGCCGTCGTTGGGCATTCCTGGGCTACAACATATCGATACCTGTGTGGAAGATCGACCCATCTCGGCAGCCAGTTCGAAAACGCCCTATCTCAGAAAACTTTTCAAGAACGCCCTACTTCAGAATTTGATTGAAAAACGCCCTATTTGAGAATTCGGTTAAAAAACGTCCTATCTCAAATAAGAATATAATAGGGCAGTTCATGAAAATTTGTAAATGCCTCGTAACCATGTAAACCCCGAAAGCTTACTTTATTTTGTATGGAAATTCGGTTTATTTATGAGACTTACGCGGTTACAAGGCATTTACGAGTTTCCATGAATACCCATACTAACAAGTAAC